TGGATAATGAGCCACAGGCTCAGGGTCTAACCTCTCCTCTGTGCTTTGCTTTTCTGCCACAGTCTACCCTGGATTCCATGCAGGTACAGCCTCCTGATCCACAACCCTGCTGGGGTGTCCCCTGCTTCACCCCCCCTCCAGGCAGGCTGAGCATCAGGTGCAAGTGGTCCCAGCTCTCAAGTCCAACAGAGCAGGGTGTGACTGAGAGCAGACCTGAGAATCTGTAGATATGCTGGAGTTCCAACAGGACATGTGGGCCATCTCCTTGTCCCAGGCCTGCCACTGTGCCCGGCAGACATGGGGACTTCTGTCCTCTAAAACCTAGCCGCTCAGCCCATGAGGAAGTTCCTCACCAGTCTCACCCACGATCCTCTTGACGTGGACCAGGGGAGAGCCCCTGAAGCTGGGGCTCCTGGGAGACACGAGAAAAGGTCTCGAGAATTGGCCTATTCCTGTTGCAGAGATGTCCCTGGCTCCTGATTGGGCTCTCTCTGGGGACTTCTCTGAGGGCAGGGATTTGGGTCACTGACAGTGGGAGGGTGAAAAGCAGTGGAGCTGAGAAAACTCCTGAGGTGATGGTAGTGATGGGGGTGGGAGCCAACCTTTTTGGCCTAGAAAGCAGCCAGAAGCAGGAAGTGCCACTGTGTGGGGCATGAGGTGGTGCTGAGTGTGAGGCAGGTCCCAGCCCTTCTCTGGGGGAGAATTAGGGGTGAGGACTTCCCAGAGCTTCACCCTCCACTCAGACATCATTAAGAGCAGTGGGGCGGCCAGGCTGAGGGGTGGGGCCCAGGCCTAGGGGCTGGGCGATGTGGTCTGAATCTCTGTGTGAGGCTGTGTGGGGTTGGCAGGGACCAAGCATCTTTGCTGGGTCTGGTGATGGCAGGGACTGGGCAGCTTTGCCGGGCCTGGTGGCTCACGGTGGGTCTCGGCTCAGGTCCGGGTTCGAGAGCTTGAGGAGCAGTGCCGGAGCCAAACAGAGCGCTTCAGCCTCTTGGCACAAGAACTCCAGGCCTTCCGCCTACACCCTGGCCCCTTGGATCTGCTCTCCTCGGCTCTGGGCTGCGGTGTCCTTGGGGACCGCCCGCCACCCCCCTGCTGCTGCTCCACCCCGCAACCCTGCCGGGGGTCTGGCCCCAAAGGTAAGGTGGACTCCCAATGACATTAGCCTGGAATCCCCAAGCCTGGGGCTTTTGTATAGAGCTGAGAATTCAGGGTCAGAGAATGCTAGCAACTCACCCAAAGCCGCACAGCAAGTTAGAGCCAGGCCAGGGGTGGCTGTCTGGGTGTCAGGCCCAGGCGTCTCAGGCCACTGCTCTTTCCCCCAAACAAGACCTCCGTGGACATGGTTGGGAGTTGGGCGTTAGGACACAGTAGCAGGCACTACGGGCTTGTGAAATCGGCTGGTCATCAGTCAGGTCCGGTCGTCCCAGCTCCACTCGCTTAGTCCATGTTTAGGTTGCTGCTAAACCCAAGCTGTCAGAAAGGAATAGCTCAGTGCACCCGCTCAGGCTGCTCTGAGGATCGTGTGCAATAATATATGTAAATCGCCTCCGCTTAGTAAGTTTCCCCCAAATATTTACCTTCTTTTAAGGAAATGTGGCTATCGAGGGCTTGACCCTCATGTCCAAGTGGCTCCACCCTTGGTCCCTGATCCCTCCTCAGACCACAGACTCCACACTCATGTACCATCTTCTCTTTAGATCCTGACCTCCCACCAGGCTCCCCAGGGCGCTGCACCCCAAAGTCTTCTGAGCCTGCCACCCTTGCTGGGGCCCCTCGAAGGGCGACCAAGAAGGCAGAGTCTCTCTCCAACTCCTCTCGCTCTGAGTCCATCCACAACAGCCCCAAGTCATGCCCTACGCCTGAGGTCAGTGCGGGGAAGGGGTCTGGGGTCTGGCTCTGCCTTGGGGAAGGGGGAAGGGTGGTGGCCCTGACCTCTTCTGGAGTTGGGTGGCTGCTGGTCTATACAGGGTCCCACACTGGGAAGTGGAGCCAGGCCCTGGGAGAGAAGGGCCTGCGGATTCCTCCCGGTGGGCAGGGAGCTCAGGCTGAGCCTGTCTTGCTCTCCAGGGCCCGCCTGCAGGCCCTACCTTGGGGCTGCCCAGCTCCACCCTTCTGGGGCTCAGAGAAGCCCTAGAGTCCTGGGCTGGATGGAAGGAGACACTTTGGCGCCGGGATCCACATAATGAGACTGTTCATGAGAATCTCTGTAGCAGAAGCGACGGGTGTATGAGAAAGCACAGGTTCTGGGATTCAGATCCCAGCTTTGTCTTAGGCAAGAAAGACCCTTTCTGGGCCTTGGTTTCCTTGTCTGGATTTTGGAGCTAATAAAACCTTGTAAGTCTATTGTGAGGATTACATGAAAAAATTAAGGAAAGCGCCTCCCTTGGTGCAGAGCATAGAGTAGATGTTTAACATAAGGCAGCTATTATTATCACCAAGTTCTTGAGCATCACTCACAACTCTTCTGATCACCTCGTACCTCTCTGTACCTCCCTAACTCCAGAAAGTGGAGCGGGCAGGCCAGGAGCAGCCCTGCTGTCCAAGGTTGTGAAAAGTGGTAGAACCCAGCCCCAGGCCTCTGCTGCCCTCTTGTGGGACAGAACGGTGTTGCTGGCTTTGGCGGCCCTGGTGCAGGCCTGCTGGGTATCCTTCTCACGTGGATTTCTTTGCCCCTTCTGCCTCCTTGCCTTCAGCTCTTTATAGTTTGAGTGCTTTGCTGCATATTTATCTTAAGGAGACAAACTTCTGTTGGACACCCACCCCACACCAGTGTGGCTGGTGTGGAATGTGATCTCCAATGGGGAACGTGATCTTATTTCCTGGATTGGTGCAGCAGAGGTCAGGGCTCAAGGGGGATCCAGGTTGTCTCCACTCCCCCATTTAGGGAAACTGGGCTTTGCCAGGACCTGCTGGCTCAGGTGCCGATTTAGAAAACCGCGGGGATCATTACTGCTGGCCTTGTCCCATACATGCTCACTTTCCCTTCTCAGTGCAGGGTCTTCCTCTGGCTCAGCCTAGAAACCTGCTTGCTTTGCCATTGTCTCTGGGTCCTGGAGAGGACTGGCCCTGTCTGTTTTCCCCTAGGTGGACACAGCCAGTGAGGTGGAGGAGCTGGAGGCAGACAGCGTCTCCCTGCTCCCAGCAGCACCAGAGGGCAGCCGGGGAGGAGCCAGGATCCAGGTCTTCCTCGCACGCTATAGGTGGGCCCCTCATCCCTGCTCCCCATCCCCCCAGCATGTGGGTGGTATGGGAGGAAGGGGCCTGGTGAAGACAGAGGCCTTTGGAGATGGGGAGTTTGGTACAGGGATCCCAGTTGGAGATGTCCTCTTAACCTAGTCGGGCCAGGGTGGGCTCAGTGAGTGAGCTTGGCTAATGGTGGACAGCCAAGTCTCCATAAGGACCTGGGGCAGTGGGGAGAGGAGACGGGACACGTGATGCAGGTCACTGTCCTCCTCCCCCTCTTCACCTCCTCTAACAGCTACAACCCCTTTGAGGGCCCCAACGAGAACCCAGAGGCAGAGCTTCCGCTTACTGCTGGCGAGTACATCTATGTCTATGGCACCATGGATGAAGATGGCTTTTTTGAAGGTAGGAAGGTAGAGGGATCATTCCGTCTCTTCTCCTGCTTTTAACCTCCTCTTCTCAAAGACCTCCACCCATCCACACCCCTCTCCAGCATGCTCAGCCCACCATAACTTTTCAGATTCAGCCAAAAGGCCATAGAGACCTAGCAACCTGTGGGGAAAGGGAGGGGAAGGGACCCAGGCAGCTGGTCTGACTTCAAGTGTGCCCCAAGCAGGGCAGGACAGGGCCTACTAAGTCCAGGTAATGGACAGTGACACAGGGAATTTTGGCTAAATTCACTTTGCGCTGGCAGACAGGGTATGGCGGTGTTTAACACTAGTGACACCGTGGTCAGGCACATAGCATAGATCTGATGCTGGATTCCGGTCGGGTGTGGGGAGAAAGAATCAGGGTCCAGAGCTCAAGAAAGGGTGTTAATAAGTAGTTAGCCGGTGTCAGGGCCTATGCAGGGTATGACCTTCAGGGACATTCTCCAGTGCTCATGGGGAGATCAGACAACTGAGGCAGATGCCCCATTACTGAGACTAGTGACAGCGTAGAGCTTGCAGAAGAAATGGCCTTGAGATGCTCTCCGGGGTGGCCCTGGCCGGACACCAGGCTACTTTTTTGTTTTTATGAGAAAAACACAAAGCCAACACCTTTTTCTTTTTCTTTTTTTTTTTTTCGAGGGGGGCAGCAAAAATATAAATATTAACTAAACACAAATTATTAGAATTAAAAAATATATATTACCAGAACTTGAACTATACAATCTGGGATAGATTTAAAGGCACGTAGACAAGTGGGTGTAGGATGCCATATTCCTCATCAAAGTTTAGCAAAGTGACTGCTTTCTCTACGTCTGGTCCCACCTGGACCACCCTCGGTGGCACGAGTTCCGGGGCATGTGCCTGACTCTGACCTAGGCTCCAGCTCCAGCCTTTCAGGGCTGTGGATCTGCTTAGCACGAAGGCTCCTGTGTTTTATATACCGTTCTTTGTTGTTAGATTATATTAATTTCCTAGGGCTGCCATAACAAATTACCACCAACTGGGTGGCTTGAAAATAACAGAAACGTGTTCTCTCACATCTCTGGAGGTCGGAAGTCAGAAATCAAGGTGTTGACAGGGCCACATGCCCTCTGGTGGCTCTAGGGGAGAATTAGTTCCTTGTACCTTTCAACTTCCAGTGTTTCCAGGTTTTCCTTGGCTTGTGGCCACATCACTACTGTCTTTGCATTTGTTTTCACGTTGCCTCCTCCTCTTCTCTCTGCGTGTCTCTCTCCGTGAGTCTTTTATAAGGACACTTGTCATTGGATTTAGGACCCACCCAGATTATCTGGGATGATCTCATCGCAAGCTCCTTAACCTAATTACATCAGCAAAGATTTTTTTTTTCCCCTAAATAAAGTCACATTCACAGGATCCAGGGATTAGAACGTGCACATATTTTTGGAGGCCACCATGCAGCCCACTACAGTGCTTATATTATCTAATTTATTGTTAAGTCCCTATAGTTTCTTCTTCAAGATTTCTTACCTTTTTTTTTCCTCCTAGTCTAAGCAGAGAGAGAGGGTATTAGAGAAACTTGCAGGCCCTTCTGCAGCTCAGACCTGCCTACAGGCACTTCCTGCCCTCAGCCCTGACCCGTGCTGCCCCTGCTTCCCACGAAGGCCCATCAGCCATCCGCTCGTCTGTTCCCTGGGGATCTTGTTCCTTGTCCCAGATTAGCTTGACGTGATACGCTGTGTGCCCAGTTTCTTCCTTCCTTGACATTCTTCAAACAAACAAGCAATGTTACAATACTCTGTTGTTAGGTGTTCAGAGGAACTGGCACAAGGTAGCAGAACCTACCTTTGGTCGCTGCCTGGACTTACTGGCAGTTGTGCTCCTAGACCCAGGCCTGCCGTGGGTCCTAATCCCATCTAGAACGCACAGGAAACTTTTCTCTGGCACTTATGTTTCTTGTCTCTAAAGATTCCTTCCCTTAGGGTCTCTAAAAGGTGCCTGAAGAAGGAATCTTTAGGAAAGAAGAGGCGATGCTTCTCTCTCCCTTTGAAGATGTCTGTTTTCCTCAAAAGGAAGTAGAGGGCACCCCTGTCCCCACTCCTCAGGCCCGTGTAATATGAAACTTTTTAAGTGTATAGGAAAATTAAAGAATTATACAATGAACACCTGTGTACTCACCACCTACAATCAACGACTGCTCACATTTTGCATATTTGCTTTATCCATATGTAGGTGAGTAAAGGGAAACAATTGAAAAGCAAGCTGTAGACATCATGACATTTTGCTTAGACATCCTTCACCATGCACCTCCGCAGGACACGGACATTCGCCTACGTCCTTACAGCATCAGTGTCACCTGCGGACTGGTTAGAAACGCAGAGTCTCAGCCCTACCCAGACCCAGCAGAATTAGAATCTGCATTTTCAAAAATCTCCAGGTGATTCGTATGCACATTAAAAATTTAAGAAGCACTGCCCTGTATAACCACAATACCCTCATCACACGAAAATGAACGATAAGTCCCTAATCCATATCTTGGCTGTTCTTGTCTTTTAAAAACACTGACAGGTATATGTTGATTTGAGTCAAATGCTTAAGATTGCCCACTGACCATTGTTAAATGCATTTATTGGACTGGTTTTTCTCTACTTCCTCTCTGTCTGCCCCTTCCCTGCCCTCCTTCTGCCAGGGGAGCTCATGGATGGCCGAAGAGGCCTGGTCCCTTCCAATTTTGTAGAGCGCGTGTCGGACGACGACCTCCTGACCTCCCTCCCTTCGGAGCTGGCCGATTTGTCCCACAGTTCAGGCCCTGAACTCAGTTTCTTGAGTGGAGGTGGGGGTGGCAGCAGTATCTCTCTGTCTGCCCCTTCCCTGCCCTCCTTCTGCCAGGGGAGCTCATGGATGGCCGAAGAGGCCTGGTCCCTTCCAATTTTGTAGAGCGCGTGTCGGACGACGACCTCCTGACCTCCCTCCCTTCGGAGCTGGCCGATTTGTCCCACAGTTCAGGCCCTGAACTCAGTTTCTTGAGTGGAGGTGGGGGTGGCAGCAGTATTGGGGGCCAGAGCAGCGGGGGCCGGCCAGCCCAA